GCACTATCGCCTTTTGTAGGTGCACATTGTTAGAGTGCATGGCTCGGATGTTGTTAGTGCAGCTCTTTGCCTTATGGAATTGGATGCTTTTAAAAGAGGGGCAAATGATGGTTAGTGTCTTGTTTTACTATTTCCCTTGAAAATTACTGTTGGATCGAGATTTGGTCTCTTACATTTGTGTTTTGCTCTCACGTTGTAACGTTTGTGAAGATCTTGAGAAGAAAGATAAACGAAAGCGCAAAAGAACAACAAAGTACGTGGAGCCTTTCTTGCCTAATCTCTCCACATCACCGTTGGAGAATGTCAAAGGAAAAAACGTGCTCGATCAATATGGGAGAGACACCGATGGTTTTAGCTCCAAATTTGTAGGTGTGATTTTATTTTATTTTTTTCATTCTTTTTTACATTTTCCGTTTCGGTGAACTGAACTAACATTCTTGAAAACGTTGATTGACATGAAGTAATGGTGTTTTGTAGATTCTGAAATTGCGGTTAAGAAAGCCATTCGCTATCACGAGCCGTCGTTTTTGCACGATCCTTGTGAGGGCGTCGTTTGTAGGTAGGTTCTGAAAAAAAATCCCAAAAGAAAAAGGACCAAAAAAGAAAGATACTACGTGGAGCACCTTTATTTATGCTCCGTTTTGTTGTGTCCTCAAAAAGCATCGATTTTTTGCGGAATATATGTTAAAAGCTTGCATATAGCACAAGTCCCTTTATGCACCGAGTATATATACGTGCCGGGACTATTACAGAACCTTCGGTTTACTTTTGACGAGTCGCATCGTGAGGATTTTTGGGGTTGTAAACATATGGTATGAACTCACTCAAGGTTTTAGTGTAAGAAGAAGATTACATATCACATATATGGGTTAATATTATTTACGCCTTATATTCATCGATGCAAAATTTATGTATCTTTTAAGAGTTACTCGGTGACTTGCATTGTTTCTATATTCATCGATGCAAAATTTATATATTATGAGTTACTCAGCGACTTGCATTGTTTCTATATTCATCGATTATTTTCGACTGTTGGCCAAAAATAGTAATTGTTTGAAATCATGAAATTCGAACAAGGATGTATCTTGATTGGAATTCAATTTGGATTAGGTTTGATTTTGAGGCATGTCAAGAGTTATTTGGTAGGTAAATTTAAACTCCAAAGTCTTTATAATTCTTGGAACATGATATTTGGAATCTTAAAAGTTACCACGGATTAGTTGAAAATTGATTGTAGTTTATAAAAGTTGGGTAAGTTGTAGGTAAAATGTCAGCTCCAGATGGAGTAACTGTCAACTTTAAAGGAAATGTCACAAATTACTACTTCTTTTCCTTTAAAAAAAAAATATAAATATGTGCTTATTTAAAATGTGCAGATAAAATATTAGTAAAAAAAAAGAGTTACTCTAGATGAATAACAATGTGCATGTATGCAGATAATTTCTTTTTTATGGAGGATCTGAGACAGATAGGGATTATATTTGGATTGATTCCTTCACTAATAAATAATAATATAGTGGATATTAGACAAAAATATTGGCAGTTTTTAAAATTTAGTTTGGCAGGACGAACTTTTTAAAAAATTTCGAGATTATATCATAATCTTCTTTGAGTAGCTTTTCAAATAAGTCGATTGAATTTTAGCTCGAAATTCACTTATAAGTTATCAACTATCGTTTTACCGAACATAGCCTAAAACTATCTTACAAGCTTATGTAAAATTAGCATAAATAATAGGGGTAATTGCAAAACTAACCCAAGTTATCATACTATAACAAATCCTTACAAGTTACAGTTACAAATTAACCTGTGTAATTAACCTTACAGACAACTTTCCCCTAAGTGCCATTTTACAAGACAAAAACAAACATAAGAGGCTATGTAATAACACCAAGAA